TGCTGCTGTTCTCCAAAAGGTTGCCGGAGAGGCTTGATCTAACAAATATCTCTGTTTTCCCAGTGTCCCAAGTGCAATATCTGTATTGAAAAGAATGGAGGCTGCAATCACATGGTGAGAAGCTCCCTGAATACTTCAGATCCTCCTTGTTCTTAGCAGAAATTTTTCCTTTCACTAACCAGTGCCTCCCTTCTCTTTCAGCAATGCTCCAAATGCAAGCATGGTAAGTAGAAGGATTTGGAAGCCGTTTTCTCACCACTTTTTAGTGACGATGTTCTTTTCTTTTTTTTATGATATAAAGAGCAATTGTGAATGTCGACTGAAATATCTTTTCCTCTAGTAAAAGGTGAACATGATACTAATTATAGACTTGTGTGTGATTGTTTTATGTTTTCCCACTGGCTGTGATCTCAGCTGGGTTCTGATTCAGTGCTGTTTTGACTCCCTCTCCCTGACAGGTCCATTGTATAAAGAAGTCTCCATCTCTGTCACAATGTTAATAACAGAAACCACCACAGAGGGAAATTAAATGCTTTACATATATATGGACTTGTCATCAGTTGAAAATACTGGCAGAACTGAACCATTTATTTCTGTTCACTGGTGGAAAGAATGAGTCCTAACTCAGATGAAACTGCAGAAGGATTTGTGAATTGTTTTGGTTAACATTATGTGTTTGACTCTTTCATCCACGCCTATGCAAGTAACACCTCACTGATTTTACTGGCAGAATTCATTTCTGTTGTCTTGAAGTGAGATGGCTTGTATTCAAGCCCTCTGTGTTAAATGTGCCACTAAGAAATATTCTAATCTCAGAACCTTACTTGGAAGACGTATAAAGTTTTCTGTCCTCTCTCATTTCCTTTGCTTTGGGGTTCGCAGCAGCATTGGACGTGATTTGATGGAGCCCTGTGGCAAGGGTGAGCAAGCAAGTGCCAAGATACCATGGTGACTGGCACTCAGAAGGCTGATGGACTCTGGAAATACCAGTTTCAGTCTCATTATGAGAGACACGAGTGATTCCTATTGTAACAATTTCATCTCCATCTTTTTTCCTTCCTAGCAGAATACTTCCCAGCCTTGAAATCAGGAAACTGCCATGCAGGTTTCACTGTTGTTTCACTCTCTCTCTTCCACTTTTTCACAGTTCAGTGGCTTCTGACTTGAAGTGTCATAAACCACTGATATCTAAAGTTATCAAGGTAGTTACTTTCTCCTTAGGAGAGAGGAGGGCAGACTTTCTTTTGCATGAATTTGTTCACTTTTGGATTGGATTGTTCATGTTTAATTCAGCCAAAGATTCGTGTATGGCAGTATGCCAGTAGTGTGGAGGATGTAACTTGCAAGTAAGACTGCTGCCTGCCTCTTCTGTAATCTGGTGTGACAGCCTGTGCAGAGAGCAAGTACTGTTCTGCATACTGGTCCAAGCCTCTTGGGGAGCACAGAATGCAGCACTTCAGGGTTTATTTCCGTACTCGCACAGGAGGCTGTAAAGCAAAAACCTTCAAGCCGAACTGGTATTTTTGGCTCACCTGTTGCATTCTGTTATGCAAGATGTGACAAAATACTTGTTTCTCAGCTTAGCAGAAATATCTGAAAGCAGATGGGCTGTGTCTACTGAAGCTCTTCCTTCTTAGAGCTGTTTTTTTCCTTCCGTGTATCACCAAGTTTGTTTTGCTGTTTTCTGCAGACTTCTGCTGGATGTGTCTGGGAGACTGGAAGACTCACGGCAGCGAGTACTACGAATGCAGTCGGTACAAAGAGAATCCTGATATTGTAAACCAGAGTCAGCAAGCACAGGCCAGGGAGGCCCTTAAGAAGTACTTGTTCTATTTTGAGAGGGTAGGAGACATCTCTTTGGCCAGAGCTGCTGTAGCCTTTTAATGCTCCCTGCCTGGTGCAAAGGTCATTGCCAGCAATTTCCGTGCAAGAAACTGCCCAAAGAGAATCTGTGCAGAATTTTCAGGCCTTATTCTTTTTTTAACTCAAAATCTTCCCATGTGAGTCTAATCTAGCCAGTAATGTTCTCCACAAAGCCAATCATATTCATTCCCATGTTTCCTTAAGTTAGAGAAAATCAGTGCTACCCATGTGCCACTGTATTGTCTTCCTGCAAAATGAGTGCTGCTGTAGGAAAAAGATATAGATAGATATTATTCCAATCATTCCCTTTCAGCATCAGGAAACTTCAGAATTCCTTCTATTTTGTCTTTATAGAGGCCAAGAATTAAACTCTGCCATATTCACAGCTCTACTGGTGACAGTAAAGTTTTCGTAAAATGTCCTGTTTATTTTTTTTTTTAAGTTTTTAGAATCTTTTTAGTGAAGCAGTTAAAGCCTCTGTCTGCTCAGCAGAGTCAGTGCAGTGACTCAGGCCAGACAGTGCAATTCTAAAGCAGCTTCTATAGAAGAGAATGGGGTAGATGGTCAGTGCTGCTGCTTTTCAGTGCACTTGTTTCCACGTTAGAGTGAGTTTATTCTTCATGCCATGAGCCAAGTCTTGTGACAAAAAAAATGTGTTCATTCTCAGCTCTCTAAACCAACAAGCCTTGGGAAATGGCCATGTTTACAATCTGTGCATGGATGTCGGAGTTGTTCACTGAGCCCGCATTAAATGTAAATTTAAACTCTTGACCTTTCTGTAGAAGCCCTTTAAATAGGGGACTCACCGTTACTTTCCATCTTGTTAGTCAAAAGTCAGTGCATGAGCAGAGGGCATTTCCACTCTGAGAAGCTGGGTTTGATCCCTGTTTTTTGCTGCTGTCAGTCTGTGGTATTTAGCCTCCACTACCTGCTGCTGGAGGGAGTGCCTTGCTCTTCCTCCCCACAAAATGTCTTGCCTTGCTGGACTCCTGCCCCACTACAGTTTTTGCTTGCTAGAGCTTGTGCTTTTCCAGCAGCAGTATTCTGGTCTCATGCCATTTTTTTTTCTTTCCTCACCCCTCCTTTGCAGTGGGAGAATCACAATAAAAGCTTGCAATTGGAGGCACAGACGTACCAACGAATCCAGGAGAAAATCCAAGAAAGAGTTATGAACAATTTGGGAACATGGATAGACTGGCAATACCTACAAAATGCTGCAAAGCTACTTGCAAAGGTGGGTAGTTTGGGCTTGTTTAGCACAGCGAAGAAAATCTACAAAATGCAAAATTCACAATACGAAGTGAGAGGAGAGGGTTTTGAAAGTTATGGGTATGTGGGACAGTACATCTGGTCTAGGACATGAGCCAGCCAAAAATCAGCTGGAATTGGCCTCTGTGAAGTTACACTTTTAACTATCCATCCTTCGAAGGAAAGGGTAAGAAATTTCACCATGAGATGTCACCCTTGTCAGAATGGGATCTCCTTTGTTGACAGTGGTCACCCAAATGCAACTGCTCTGACTTATAAGTCTGAGAATTTTTTTCTTCTTTTCTTTCCCCCCCAATCCCACAATAGTGTCGTTACACACTGCAGTACACATATCCATATGCCTACTACATGGAGTCTGGTCCCAGAAAGAAACTGGTAAGTTAGTTTGCTCTTTTTTGACTGGTAGTATCTTGACATGTAGTTGGCAGGTTATTGGACCAAAGTTAGTTGCCACACTTTTCAAATGTTTGTTAAGGGGAGGAGAAAAAAGATGCCTCATCTGATATCACCTTGTTGAATAAAAGTATTTTGCTGTTGGTTTGGTTATTATGTCTCACTTCAAAAACCTACTTTACAGATTCCATAAATGTATTAGAGCTATTATTACGTAATGCAAAAATTACTGTTTTCAAGCTGTTTGAAACCTGTCAAACCTACAAATCTGTCATAGCTCTGGATTGCCACAAACAGATATGTGGTCTTGGTCACTGCTTTCTGTCAAAGCAAGAGCGTTATCAATAAAGGGCTGCCTGTTTGGGAGACTGTCCAAAATGAGTAATAGAGAGTCAGCTGGGGTGCAGAGAATTCATGGAAGCACTCTGCCTTGAGAAGTCTCAGCCTTCAAACTACACGCTATTTTTTACTGGGAAATTACCAGAATCTGTAAGTGCTGAGCTGCTTTTTTATTTTATTGAGTTTGGGTACGGATAAGAAGGATAAATACAGTTTTCCTCTTAACTTAGCAGCTCAGTCATCTAATATGTTTTGTTATTTTCCCAGGGCAGCCTTGTATTTACGCAAACAAGATTTATGGTTAGACTATCACACTGCTCTGGACCGTGTTTCATGTGAAGAGCTGCTGGAGGATGATTTTTCCATCTTTGAATCAGGGTGTAGCTTTGCCACTTGTGCTTTTTGATTTCTGCTGTCAGTTCCTTGCTGGCATGGAGCATCCCATAGTCTGGACATGTCCAAAAGGAGTCCTGAATTCACTGGATATACTAGTCCAAGAAGAGATTGCTTCTTTGACTTAGTTATCCAGTAAAATAGTTACCAGAATTTTCCATAGGGTTGTGTGCATTCAATCAGGCTGTGGACAGATGTTCTCCTTGGATCCGACTGCCTCTGGAGCAAATGGCCCTCGGCTCTGCCTCCAGAGCTCCTCCTGGGAGAATTTCGTGACCCATTTCTGGCAAAATTAGCTGAGCTAGTAGCTATTTGTCACTCGTGCTTTTTCAGACTGACATGCTTAATTTTGACTGATGCAAGGTCCTCACATGAGGAACTGGAAGGGTGATAATGTGTAGCTGAGGAAGAATAACTGAAGGTTAGACAGGGAGGAGGCACAAACCTGCCCTGTTAGCACAGCTGTCAGCAGAATGCTTTTGTCTGTACTTCAAACATAGCTTGTGGTATGAAGCTGCTCCACTAAACTTGTTTCTTGTTGCTGTGTTAATTGTGCTGTTTGCAGTTTGAATACCAGCAAGCCCAGCTGGAAGCCGAAATTGAAAATCTCTCGTGGAAGGTGGAACGAGCAGACAGCTATGACAGAGGGGTGAGTTTTCTGTTAGCCAGATTTTGTTAGGGTCGGGCCTCTGCAGGCTAAGGCAGGTAAGGAAGGACCCTCAGAAGCAGAGTCTGCTGTTTTTTTCTGTAGGCAGCAGATGTTGCAGGGACAGAGAGCTCACTGGCTCATAGGAGGGGAGGAGGGCTACAGTTAGTCCTCAGGAACTGAAACGGGACCAGTAAAGCTCTGGAGGAAGCTACATTCAGCCCTTTGATTAAGAGCCAATTCCTTAGCTTTTTAAGACAGAGCGGGAGCTGAGTAGCTGCAGAGGGAGCCCTTCTTAAGAGCAAGGTACAAGTCCTTGTGATCCAGAATACATGTGTAGCATGAAGATGGGTAGTTCTCAGCGTAGAGCTGAGTGTCTCCCTGAGGAAAAAGAACCCTTCTCTGGGAAGTTCACACTAACAGTTTCTCCCTTGTTTTTTTCCAGGACTTAGAGAATCAGATGCACATAGCAGAGCAGAGACGGAGGACGCTGCTGAAAGACTTCCATGATACATAAGACGGGAGGAAGTGACAGTGCAGGGGTGAGAGCAGCGAGTGAAGTGATGGCAGCTTCACCGTGATAAGCAGGCACTGCCTCTGGGAGAACATGGCCAAGGACAAAGCCACCCCTCCCCTTGCAAGTCAGACACATGCAAACACCACATCTTAGTCCAGTTTGTTCTCTTATCTTTCTGTTTCTGTTTCTGCCAGGCTAGAGGCCAGAGTTCAGATTGGCATATTTCCTGGGACATTTTCCCTCCTGCCCTTGATGGTTTCAGAAGGGAAGGGAGGTTTTCTCTGAATGGCTGTTAATAGTATTAGATTATTACAATTTATGTAATTTTCAACGGTTGTACAATTATACAAACAAACCTTAGAATAAGACACAACCCTTTTTAAAAATAAATTGGCAGTGGAGTGTTTTTCCTTAATCTGCTTGTAAATTTAATGGGCTTTTCCCCCTTCTCCCTCTCCCCGCCTCTGACCCAAAAATCCTCCCAGGCACTGAAGGAGGTTACAAAGTAACTCAGTTAGATTTCCTGATCCTCCTCTAACCAGGGCTTTGTAGCATTGGCATTGCATGGGGAGAGTGGCTGGTGTTAAGAGTGGCTGCTGCTGTGTCTGACCTGACAGTACCAGCAGTGGCTGCAATTTAGTGCAATTACACGGGGCATCTCTCGTAAATCAGCTGTGCAAAATCCTGCTATGTAAACAGAAGTGAAGAGAGGACTTGTAGGAGAGAGACCAGGTTAAAGCTGGGGGATATGCCTTGAGGCAGGTCAGATTCTTGCATTTGATGAATCTTAGGTCTTCCATGTAGATTTTTGCTTTACTTTTTTTTCTTTCCTTTTTTTTTTTTTCTGGGGAGGGCATTGTATTGCCAAAGTGAGTGACAAGGGCATAGTAGCACACTGTTGTTAATCAACGCTTGGGACTTTTGCAGAATGAAGCAATCCGTGTTATAACAGTGCCATACAACCTGGTAAAGATTATCTGTGCTTGCTGGGTAACATGGTTGAGAAAAATTGTTCACATTCATCAAGGTGAAACTAATTGCCACTACATCATGAGGAGGAAAGATGATGTACAACATGCTCCCTGGCACATGTTGGCAATGTGGACAGGCACTTGAAAACAGGTGCACTGCTTGTGCAGAGCCAGGCAGAAAATTAACTGGCAAAATTAATTTATTTGTATATTAGTATTGATGCTGGTGGAGACTTATCAGAAAATTGATTGTTAGGAGCATGTGGAGCTTTTTTATTAACATTCTTTTTCTAATGTAAAATATACACTAAAATAAAAATGTGAAAACCCAGTTCATGTTAGCAGGGGCTTAACGTGAAAATGGTTACTTAAATGCTGATGCTTGCCTGTTGTGGGAAGCAGGTCCCGTGTTAAGATTTCACAGACACATGTGTTACCTACGCGAGGAATATGTTGTATGCAGAGCGGAGCTGGAGTCTGATGTGAGGAAACGTTCACTTCTCTGGAGAAGTCCCGGGTTCCCTTCAATGCCACATCTGGAGGCACTGCCTTTGGTGCAACTCTGCACTCTCATGTTGTTCTTGCACAATGTCATTTGACAAGGATTAAACTGGAGGGGGGAAAAGTCCTAAATACCTACTTGTTAGAATAAGCTAACTCTGCTGTTGAAGCCATTTCTCATCTACCCGAGATGAGACAGGTATTTGCAGCATGTGTAGCTGGGCAGGTAGAATTTAATGAGAGGTTTATGAGTTTAAAAGAGGAAGAGATGTCATATGGACTGATGCTGTGACCATTCCCCTCTCTAGGCTGGAGCCACGGATATAGGTATTTCCATGGTCCAGGAACCAGCCCCTCATCTCATTCCCTCCTCTGCTCCTATCAGCAGCCTCTTTGCGGCCTCCTTGAAATATATCCTCTCTCTTCCTTTCCAAATGATTCCCAAAGACAGGGATGCTGGATAGGGGAAAGCATGAGCGCGGGAGTGGGTTTGCTGTGTATCCAACAGTTTACACTGTCTAGAACTAATGTGTAAAATATTCTTAAAAATGTAATGTGCAAGGTACTAATGTAGGATTACAAACTGGTGTTTGTGTAACCTAAAAGTAACTAGCTAACACTCAGTCTCTTTGCAGAACAGGTCTATGGAGTTTCCTGATCCTAAAGAGCTCTTGCTGGTGTTACATAGCTGTGTGTCCTTGAGCTACATGAGAAGGGTTTTTGTCTCTTGCTCTCCTTCCCACCCTCTCCTGTGCCCCCACAAAAATACTTTGCTAAGAATCCTTGTTTGTACAAAAACTAGGCCAAATAGCTGCATCCAAATTTACTGAACAGACTGCTGAGGTGCTCGGCTGAGAACAAGAATACATACTGCATCCAGTGATCCCAATTTTTTGAAATTTCTTGAAATTAGAGCTTTGTCAACAGTTTTATTTAACATTCCCCCTCTCCCACACACCCTTTAACCAAGGCTGTCAATGCCC